GCCACCACCACCCCACTGCTTCCATGGCTCGGGATAGCAACCTGTTTCACCTGGCCCCGAAGGCTAATGAAGCCAGTCGATACGACCAGACCCGATTGCTCGTAACGCCTGCCGCCTTGCCAGACTGGTATGATCCCCACACTCCTGGCCTCTTTCCTACCCCCCAGGCTTCACCCGCTGTCCACCGGGTTCCACACCCTACTCTAGCCGTGAGGAGGTCAACGCCTCTTTTCAGTCCAGTTCTACGAGCAAAGTCTGGTTGTTGTGGCCTATGCGTGAATTAAGGCACTCCCACAACAACTTGTCGATCTGTGCGCAAGTGTGTATGCATGCATGCATGTATGTATGTGTGTATGTATGCCAACCGTGTATGTATGTGTGTGTGTGTGTCTAAAACAGACGGGATTTTTCGGTCGGCCAAATCGACGACTGGCCGGTAAAACGGCAGCTTTATGCTGGATGGCTGGATGGCTGAATGGCTGGCAGATTGGCTGACTGGCTGGTGCTATTCTGTTCTGAAGACGATTGGGAGAATTCGATTGTTGCCCTGTCGGACGGTGACTGGCTGGCCAGCTTTGAGGCAAGCAGCTAAAATGCCTATTCCGCTTTCGCCAGGTTGATAATACAACTTCAGTGCCTTCTGAAAAGACAACCTCGCTGATGTTCTGTTTTAGAGGTTTTTTGAAACTTTCGGTTCTTCTTGCCTAACAGGGCGGATAGACGAATTTTCCTTCAATTCGAGAAGTACAGCCTATAGTCTCGACATTCTGGCCACTAAATCCACACTGTCACGAGTGCCACTAGGCCACAGGACAGACAAGGCTTCCAAAGAAGGCCATGCCATTTCATAGCACATTTTTGTATTGGAAGGAAACTTTTGCTATTAAAATCGATCACATTACTTATATTTGTATTAAGTAGGTTCCGAATACAGCTTTTATTTCAGATATTCACAAAGGTTACGAAACCTAATTAATGCGAACATTATTAATGTAGTCGATTGTAAAAGTAAATACTATTTTGCCTTGTCGACTCGCACAGTACAAAACTGTGGTATGGGAGGGGTCTAGCTTGCCAGTAACCTACTGAAACGCTTGGCGGGGTTGGGTAGTGATAGCATATCGAAATTTTACTCTGCGCTGACCGGATTCGATCCCCGTTCGGAGTGCGGACGGGGAGTGGACCAGTCTAGGGTCATTAACGTTTAACCCTCTAAGGAAAGACATGACTGGGGGCTGGGTAATTTGGCAGGTTTGGTTTGGTTGATGAGCTTAATCTAACATGTTGGACGAGTGTGAGTGAAGTTGGAACCATCAACGAGCAGACACATTGAGTCGCCTTCTTTTTGATGGCGGCTCAACACCCTCTCTCTCTTTCAATCTATCAATCAAGCATAAG